TATATATATATAATAATAATAATAATAATAATAATAATAATAATAATAATAAAATAAACCACAATTTATTCACTAGGAGGGGCACTGGGGTGTGTTATGTGGTTCTCGAATAAACACCATACAACCCTCTCGAATGTAGCCTCCCTCGCCTCGCCTAGCCTCGCCTATCCTCGCTTACACTCACCAGATCGTTCCCAATGTGCTTGCCACTAACCTAAGCTCACATACACATCCACTTTACTTTCTATGACCCAAGCCCTAACCCTAGTTGTCCCTATCCTCTTCCTGCCCTTGGTCGAACATTCACACCTAGATGAATTAATTGGTTTGTAAAAAATTTGTAGGTTCTCTTATATATACATGCCATTATTCTTGATATGATAAAGTGATTTATCAACTTTCTTGCTTCGTGTGTAATGTGACATGTCTATATTACCATGTGATATTTATGTTCCATGTCAATCCATGAAATTTCATGCTTAGGTAGATGTTCCAAAAAGTTTTCATGCTTCGGCTTATGTTCCATGAAAATTCATGCTTAGGTTTATGTTCCATGAAAATTTTCATGCTTAAGCTTATGTTCTATGAAAATCCATGCTTATGCTTATGTTTCATGAAAGTTCATTCTTAAGCTTAAGTTCCATGACAGGCTATGTGTAGGCTTTATGTTCTATGAAAATTTTCATGCTCGGGCTTCACGTTCCGTGAAAATTCATTTTTTGGCTTTATGTTTCAAAAAAATCTATATTTAGACTTTTGTTTCATGAAAAATTAATGTTTTAGTTTTATATGTTTCATGCACATTAGTAAGTTGTGATTTTATGTTTAATGCAAATTAGCAAGTATTGATTATATGTTTCATACAAATTAGTAAGTTTTGGTTTTATGATTCATGCAAATTTGTAAGTTGTGATTTTATATATGTTTCATAAAAATATGCAAGTTGTGGCTTTATATGTTTAGTAGAAAGCATATTTATGATATTTAGCTTGCAAACATGTTGTGCTTATATGTTTGAGATTGATCATTCTTATAAGTTTAGATATTTAGTGTGTGTTTTGCAAGTTTATGTAGTTGGGTTATGTTAATCCATACATTTGCAAATAATGTAGTAACTACTTTATTAAAATTTATATAAAATTTAACATGCTCTGAAAGAATTATCTTTATTTAAATTTAAATGAGCTTTAAAAAAAAGAAGAGAATAATTTTACTAGGTAATGTATGTTTATGTATCATCTGACTTTAAATTATCCTTATAATCTTATGTATACTCTTATTTCAAAAATTATTTTTCAATAAAAAGTAAAATATGCTCCAAGTTTGAATTGACTAAAGTTTTCCTAAAAAAATTCATAATTTCTCATGTAAAGCCTAAAGGCAGAATAAATCCCTTAATAAATACAAATTTTTTTTTTAAAAAGTTAAAATAAACCTAAAAAATATTTTTAAACTATAAACCTAAAATAAAAATATTTTAAAACTAAGATAAACCTAAACAAAATATTTTTTAAAAAAAAATAAACTTAAGAGGTTTTTAAAAATAAAGCAAACATACAAATCCTTTTTTCAAAACTAAAATAAAATGTAAGTAAATTTTATTTTGAAAATAAAACAACCATAAATAAAACTTTCCAAAAATAAAATATAACTAAATTCTTTTTTCAAAATAAAGTGAACATCAACAAAACTTTTTTAAAACTAAAACAAACCTAAGTAAAATCTTTTTTTAAATAATTTAAACCTAAAAAAAAAATTAGAAACTAAAACAAACCTAGATGAAACCACTTTCAAACTAAAAAAACCAAAAACAAACAATTTTAAAATTAAAACAAATATAAATATGAATACTTAAACTTATAGGCAGTGACCCCAACACTAAGAATGGGTGGCAGTGACCTGAAAGAGTGGGGGTGACATAGAGACAGCGACTCAAAAAATATGTGCCAAGGATGCGGTGACCCGAAAGGGTGGGCGTGCCAATGGGTGTGTCACAGAGGCAATGCCTGAATGGTTGAGCGTGCGCAAGGTGCAATGACTCGGAAGTGGGCATGCTGTGGAGGCAACATCCCAGGTGAACGAGTGTACCACAAGGGGGGCATTAAGTCAAAGGTGAGAGCACATAAGAAAGACATTGGCTCAGGAGGTGCGGGCGTACCATAGAGGCGTTGGCCCAAGTGAGCGACTCTATTGGAAGGGATGCTAACTCAAGAGAATGATGATTCTCACTATAGAGAATCATACAAGTGGGGTGAGTGTAAGAATGAACACTCTAAATGCAACTTAAGCATGCGATAATGACTGTCCAAAATATCAAGCAATCAACACTAATGCCATGCAAAACACACACCATGATATTTTGCACACTCAAGGTTTAGGCTTTCCTGCATAAAAAGATGTAAAACAATGAATTAAATGTAGAAAACATGAAATAAATATTGAGTTTGACAAACATTTTAAAATATTTTTCTCACTCAAGAGAAGTGCATCATTTATAACTTACAATGTATACAAATGAAATTATTTCAATGGCCGAGACTCTATAGTATTTCCTTAACATGGTTTTTATGTAGAATTCTCACATCTCATATGAACTGCTTAATCATTGTGATCGCATGTGCCAAATTTTTTTATAATGCAACGATAATAAACTGTTTCACTACTGAGACTATTCTAGCTGCAATAACTTTTATATATTTTAAAATAGAATTTAAATTCTTTTTATGGGCCATTAAGGTTTATTTTTATTTTTATGTTAGTTTTTAACTTATTTTATTTTTATAAACTCTATTCTAATTCAAAATAGTTTATATTTGATTTTTATCATTCACTAACTATTTAAGAAATTATAACTAAAATTGGCATAGTCTTCATCATCATATAAAATAAACAAAATTCAACACAAACTTAGTTAAATTGAGAAGATAATAATACTTATTGATTGATATGCAAATTAAGATTTTAATTTCGATCTCATCATTAAAATTGTGATAGTTTTACAGTTTTGACAATTTCAATTTTCATAAATATTTATTACGTCTGATTAATCATAGTAAATGAATAAAATATTTAATTTTGTTGAATGAATCTACCCATTAAATTATAAATTAATTTTTAATCTTGGGTTTTGATTTGCTGCTAATTAGGCTATTTTCAAAATATAGAAATGTAACATAACATTGTTAATATCTTAGTTGGATGGATAACCAAATACATAACTACTGCTTAAGAAAATATGAAATCCCATTATGGAGTTCTATCAATCAAAGTGGACCTTCCTTTTGAATTGCTTGTTCTTGGTTATCATTGTTGAAATAGGCTCCTTTGGTTCCATTTGGTGCAAAAATCACTTGGGTTGGGCGAGTCCATGGGATATGATTTATCTATGGAAGAAAAGTTAGCTTAGTTGTGGTTTAATGTGAAAAAAAAAAGATATATCTAATTTGTGAAGACACCTCCTTCTCAATTTATCATGATTTTTGGCTTCAACATCAATCTCTTTATGAAAGATTTGATGAGCATGTTATTTCATTTTTTAAACAATCACCTCATGAAAGGCTTAATTCTATTACATTCAATGAATCTTCAAGGCCTTATAGTTATTTGGCATCCATCAAATCAAATTACTATAATGTCATTTTTAAATGACGACTTTCTTAAGAGAAAGATCAAGTAAGTAGAGATGGATTCAATAAATTTTCTTTTAGTAAAGCAAAAAAAAAAGTTCTCGTTAGAATTTTTCTAAAGTAGACTACTGGGATTATATCTAGTTCAGAATCAACTACATTAAGTAAGCCCTTTTTTCTTGGATGGCTATAATAAAGAAAACTCTTGACAAACTTGCCTATTGTGATGCTCATATTAGCTCTATTTACAAATTTTGTCTAGGGGACGTGGAAAACCACAAACACCTATTCATTAGATGCTCCTCTTCTATATAGTTGGTTAGAAAATTTCTCCCTAATGAGAGACTCATCCTTATTCAACATAATCTCTTGCAAATGCTAAATAAGGGGTATAATCAATAGTGTAAAACATTAAAAAGTATTTCTTTTTATCTAATCACGACTATTTTAATATACTTTATTTGGAAGGGCATAAATGATAGTATTTTTCGCAATATTCTTTCTCTCTTACCCGTTATTTTGGCGAACTCAAGTTGTCTTGAAATTCAAAAGATGAAAGTTCATGCCTTGAAACCCAAAAGATGAAAATTCATGGAATCATGCCCTCAACACACCAAGCTTATTTCCTCCAAGTGGGTCTTATGTTCCTTCCACTTCTTGATTATATTCATTTAAGAGATGGCATATCCTTTGATCATGCCCGCATACTATTGGTGGTGGGATCTAAAAATTTTTTGGAGTACATTTTTCTGATTTATAGGAATGGCAGTATCTGTAATATTCTTTCAATTAAAGGGTAATTCTCTGAGAGATCTATCTATCCATCCATAGCGACTTGGCTAGAAAATGACGCGCCTTTCTTCACTTCTCAAGCATCATGGCTGCTTCTCTCTTCCGCAGTATCTTCTGTTGCTATGTGTTATTTTTCCCTCTATTTCCTCCGCCTTCATGTCGCTCCACAGCTGCTACGCCAACACCAATTCCACCTTCCCTAGCTGAAAGTCTCCTGAAAGAGGCGCGGGAGCCAGAGTTTTTCAATTGGCTGAAGAGGATACGGAGGAGAATCCACCAGCATCCGGAGCTCGCCTTCAAGGAGTACAAGACGAGCGAACTGATAAGATTGGAACTGGATGCCCTAGGGATTGAGTACAGATGGCCGATCGCTGTGACAGGGGTTATCGCATCGATCGGTTCAGGTGAGGCACCCCGGTTTGCTCTTAGGGCGGACATGGATGCTCTTGCTATGCAGGTATATGATTACTCCATTGTTTTCTGTTTAATGTGGCATTTTGATTCTTCTACTGGTTATGAGTTTGTGATTTTAGCTATTGGTTTGATGCCAATAACAGCAGTCGTTTCAGTATGTCAAGAATACATATGTATTAACAATTAGGAATGAATTCAATTCCAATGAAAAAGAATTTATAGTGGATTTCCTACATATCGTCTAACATATTTGGTAGATGAGAAAGTCAAAACATATACACTATGTGGTAATATTATAATACATGATGCTGATTTCATAGTATATCAACTTTCATTAGGAATCCACTATCACCCCCAAAAGAAGAAAATGGATATGTAGCCTCATGAAGAAAATGGATAAATGTATAATTTCATTATACCAAAAAAATTATCAACCCATATTATTACGGGTACACGATCTATTGTACTTGGTGTACCAGTTCTAATAAAGGTTAGCTATGTATGGATGTAAAGAATTCTCGACGTGAAAACACAGAGACAGAGGGCTGATCTTTGAATAGGGAAAAGGATGGATCCGCAGGGTCCCAAATGAATTGGCTTGTTCGAAAAAAGCCTTGTTCTTTGGAAGATCTATCTCGTGTCTGGTACTGCATGGTTCCACTCTGCAAGAACTCCGAATCATTCTCTTGAAGCTCACCCTCTTTATGATAAATGATCCATTTGCCCCGAAATGACCCAGTCCAATAGGGAAATCCCAATTCAGTGGGCCTTTCGATACAATCAAATCGCCATATTCTAGGAGCCCAAACTATGTGATTGAATAAATCCTCCTCTATCTGTTGCGGATCGAGGGCCCCTTCCCCTTCTTCAAACTCCGATTCGTATTTTTCATATAGAAATCTCTGATCAACGATAGAACAAGATCCATTTTGCATCATATCTAACTGATTCCTTGGTTCGGACCGAAGAAGTAATGTCACTCGATTATTATCAAACTGACTGCAATATTTTTCTGTCCGTGAGGATCCCGCCAGAGCCAGAGCGCCTTCTACTTCTAATAGTAATAATAGTAATAGGCCATGAACTAGATCAGAATCGTTCTCGATGAATCCATAAGAAGTGATCCAATTTTTTTCATCGTGTCTGGATGAAGACCAAAGATCTTGAGCGACCGATCCGGCAGAACAACTCAAAAGATAAAGAAGTATCGTTAATTTCTTCATGCTCGTTCCAAGTTCGAAGTACCATTTGTACAAATAAGAATCCCCTCCCTTACATGATTTCTTCTTCATATAGATAGATATAGGATCTATGGGGCAATTACTTAGAAGTACATTTTGTGTAACAGCCCTTCCTATCTGATAGAAAAGGATCCCATGATCCTGAACCGATCTTATCTGGGATCGAAAATCCCAAGTTTTTCTATGAAGAGCTGATCTAATTGTATTAGTTTCTATAATGGATTTCTTCTGTGTAATACTAATTGATAGGGCCTCATTGATAAGTGCTACAAGATCTCGCGCATTGGAACCCATGGTTATGGACCCGAATCCGTTAGTATGGAACATCTTCTTTTCCAAGTGAAATCCTCTAGTATATGAAAGAATGAAAAAGTGCTTTCGTTGTTGTGGAAGAAGAAGCCTTCGTATCTTAATGCATGTATTTAATTTATTTGGAGCTATTAGAGCGGGATCCACTTTTTGGGGAATATGAGTCGAAGCAATAACAAGAATCTTTCCAGTGGAACATCTTTCACAATCCCTGGAGAGATAGTTCTCTAATAGATCGAGGGATAAGTAATTCGACTCATTCACATGCAGATCATGAATGTTTGGAATCCATATTATGCAAGGAGACATTGCTTTTGCTAATTCGAATTGAAGGGTGATATCAAATCGGTCTATTTTCGTCGTCATATACATAGTTAGCACATTCGTCATAGTTAGCAGCTCCTTATCAATATCAAGGTCATCATTACTATCATCAATATCGTCACTATCATCAATATCGATATCATCAATAGGATAACCTTTAGGCTTGTCATCCAGGAACTTGTTCGGAAATACCGTAATGAAAGGAACATAGGAGTTTGTCGCTAGATATTTGACCAAACAGGATCGTCCAGTTCCTATAGAACCTATCACTAAAATACCTCTAGAAGGGGATAGGGCTAAGCGGAGCGAAAAGGGTTTTCCATGAGGAGATGGGGAATGAAAAATCTTAGCCCCACACAAGGTTTGTGAATAAGTGATTGTATGATAATGAGCAAGGAATATCCGTCTTTCTGCTAAACAGGATCTATTGAACTCATAATTCATTAGATCCTTTTGATGAATGTCAACTAAGTATCGTAAGGAAATTGATCCCGGTTGTTCAATCATTTGATAACCAGAGTCATTCTTTGATAAATGATCACTATGAGTCAGACTCAATAGAATTTGATCAATCCTTTTTTCTGTCGTTAAGGTGGAGAACTGAACCAAGAATTCTCTTTCTTCATCATCAATCGAATCACTGTTCGCGACCCAGAATTCTCTTTTTTCATTAATCCAATCACCGTTCACGTTTTTTCTTTTTCTTATCAATGAATAGATCTCTTTACTTGTACGACTTAGATGTCTCGTATTTCTCGAAAAAATGATTCGATTGATGGGATTTGGTATGATACTTACAAGATCGATGAGATTGATCTTCCAATATTTCTTCTTAGAACGTATTGATTTGACCCCATAAGCGGGACCACCACCCAATAGCATGTTGCCACCAGAAGCAGAATCCCGTATTTCTTCCAGAGAATCTCCTAATTGTTCCAGAACAACTAGAAAGAGATTCTTTAACCAGAAAGGATTCAGTTCAGATGTAGGATATCTAAACTGTATTAAATTATGTTTATTATAGTATACCATTAATAGAGAAATCCCAAAAAAATTATGTATTGATCTATTGTGAGCATTCTCAATATTATGCCTTGAAGAGGACTCGAACCTCCACGCTCTTTAGCACGAGATTTTGAGTCTCGCGTGTCTACCATTTCACCATCCAGGCATCTTGAAAGTGAATCGTATTCCATGAATATGATATCTATCTAGTGTGATATATGGAATATATGACAAAGGTGGAGTGTTGGAGTATTTCTATCGATCGGTCATGTCATATAGGCCCGAGTCAGACATCAAATTGCTTCGATTGGAATTATCCGGAGGATACCTTCTATATATCAAACTATATATCAAAAAGATGTAAAATCAAACCTCTTTCTCGATTCAAGAGAAGCCCAAAGAAGTGAATAGGGTACCCAAATAACGATAGATATGTCAAAAGCGGGTCCGATTACGCCTATTCCTAATCCTAAATAGAATGTAACGACGTAGGGATCCATATGTAAACAGAGTATCTATTTACATACGCTCGAATGACCCCTTCTCATAATAAGAATGTAAATAACCCTATTCCGGCCTGGTCCGGTCTGGAATGAACTTAGAATCTGATGATCGAGTCAATTCCATGATTCTAAGTTCATAACTCCAGCCCATTCCCATTTTGGGTGGAAAAGATCTACTAATTCTTTTATTCCAGTTAGTAAAAAGGATCTTGAACTAAAAAATAGACCTAGAAGCTAATAATAATAATGGTCCATCACCTAAGATTTCTAGTAAAATAAGAATAAGACATTATTCATTTTAACGATACCCGGAGTGTTGATTCACATACAGTGCATCAAAGATGCAGTCATCGATTCTCCCGATAGGCCACAATTACCGCGAGCAAACATATTAATGACGAGGAACGTCTTTTTGCTATGCTACTCATACTTGTACTTGCTCTGCTATTCTGCCCAAGCCTGGCTGAGGAAGAGTTACGGGGAGTCAAACACAAATATGCTGATTCCAGCCCGGTTTTTGAATATATTACTATATGTAAAAATGTAAAAAACTAACCTGATAAATAAAAAAAGTCAGGCCATTCCATTTCGGCAAAGGACCATACCCAAGTTCAATATCTTTGCGGCCGCTATCCCGATCATGATTTTACTACCCCCAGAGGCCCAGAGGGAAAGGCCCTTCCCTTTTGGGCCGGTTGTGGGCGAGGAGGGATTCGAACCCCCGACACCGTGGTTCGTAGCCACGTGCTCTAATCCTCTGAGCTACAAGCCCCACCCCGTCTACACTGGATCTGTTCCCGGGAGTACCTTCAAAAAGGAACCTTTCCTCTCCTCAGTCATTTCGGGTTAAGAAGATGTGAAAGCTCCTTTCTCAAGTTGGGAGTTTTCAATGTCGGCCTCTATATTTATACCAATTATAGGTCATATGCTATCCAAATTTTTGTGCATTTTAAATCGGGTAAAGTTCTGCTTGGCCGACAATGCTCTTAACCTCTTAATTGATGTGGCGAGAAAAGTTTTTAGATCACTTGAATCTTTTGCTTTGTTCACTTCTATTCCTTGTGCTAAAACTTTAGGTTCTAGAATTATGCCCTCAATAAGCATGAATTGATACTTGTACCAATTTATTATGAAATTTATCTCCTTACATCTTTGCAAAACGAATGCAGGATAAAAAAAATATGTTAAAAGTTGTACCAAATATGACAAAAAAAAAAAATCATTCATAAATGCTTCAATATCTTTCTTGATTAAATCATAGAAAATAGCGATATTGCATCTTTGAAAAGTAGCTACGGTATTTCATAGTTTGAAGAGCATTCTTTTAAAAATAATAGTTCCATAAGCGCTTCTGAGCATAGTCTTTTCTTGATTCTCGGGTGCTATAAAAATTTAATTGTACCCTAAATAGTGATTTATAAAACAAGAGAATGGGTGCTATAAAAATTTAATTGTATCCTAAATATTGATTTATAAAAAATAGATTGGCGCTCTGATATTTTGTCTAGCATTTGATCGATAAACGATAATGAGAAACGATCATTCCTAGTGGCTTTATTAAGTTTTCTATACAAGTTCTCCGTGTAGCTACAATTATAGTAGGAATTAGTTTATTTTTCTCATTTGTCACCACAATCATCCCCCATTCTTAGATACACAAT